TTATTTGTGGTGTCTCCCCATTATGTGGTCTGCAACAGGGTGAGAAGGAAGGGAGGGGACAGAGGCTGAGTAGGCGGGGCCAGAAGAGTGGCAGCTGGGAGCCAAGACAAACCCCGAGCAGGGTGGCGGCGATATCCAGCCCCTGCTCTGATACCTCAGCAGCACCAGTCGGCTGAGAGCCTTTGCCTGAATGCAAACTTACAGGAAATGAGAAGTGGGGTCTGGGGTAGGCAGTGCTGCAGTGATGGGAACAGCAGAGGAGGCTGGACAAACTTGAAGAGTGTCAGCAAGAAGGACGGTGAAGCTTCCACAGCCATCTGGTTGTGCTGGTTGCTCCCCAGGACCCCAAACGGACAAGAGCTGAGTTCAACCTAAACTGATGGTGCTGCCCTGCCCACCACGCTCCCCAGCTCCAAGCCCGTGATAACTGAGCCCCAGATTCAATGAGTATTTACTAAATAAACAGACAAATCGATGAGTTAATTTGGTTTGATTTTCTCGTACTTTTTAACTTTAGCTAGTTGCTCATCCAGTAACCTATGTATCATTTATGAAGATACTGAGTGCCTATGTTGTAGGGGAAAAAGCATATGCCTGACAGGACATCCATCTCTGTCCCTCCTGTAAATGCCAAAGCACTGTGCAAGTCTCACAGTAACCGTCCAGGTCCCACCAGCACATTCACACACACACTCAAAGCTTAGATCTAAATCTGCTCACTGAAGTCCTAGGCCAGTCTTCCCACTAACAAGGCCCTGTGCCTGTCGTCACATCCCTTTCAAACCCTGGTCAACATTTAAGAACAACCACTAATGTCTTCCTGGCCAATCTCTATGCTCTGTGTCTCCCTCAACTACCTACTCAGACCCCACCTAAATGCTCGCAACAGTATAAGGCCATCATTTAACAGGAAGCTGTTCTAGATAAAAGAACACTTTTTTCTCTCTCTCTCTCTCTCATTTTCTCCCCTATAAATCAAGAAGATTCTTGGGGAAAAAAAGCTCTCTAATTTATTCATTATCCCCACCACTTCCCCACTCTTTAAGTTAGGATGTGTTCAGTTACAAGGAAGAGAATTATGTGAATAACAGTGGCTTAAACCATTATTTATCTTTTAAAACAAAATTCCTAATAAAGTGATCCTAGAGTTGCTTTGGCTGGTCAGCAATGACAAGAAGGACCAAGGCTCCTCTCACCCTCCTGCTTATCATCCTTACCATGTTGACATTAATTTTTCAATATTGCCACATGGTTGTAAAACGGCTACCGCAGCTCCAGGCATCACATCTTCATGTGGCAGTGCCCGTACAGGAAGCAAGTGGTTGAGGTAAAAACATTTTAAAATTCCTACCTTTCACAAGCCTCAATCTCTTTATACAATGAGGTGAATCTTTACCAAAAGCTCTAAAGATTCCTCTTTAGCTTCCACTGCCCAACCACAGAATAATACTGGCAAAACAAGTCTAAGCCTTTCATAGATTAACCCACTAGGCATGGGCACGTGTCTGTCAAAACAAAATTGGAGTGTTTTAGTAAAGAAGAAGGAAGCTGGCTATTGAGTAGACAGCTAACCTGTCTGTCACACATCACCCAGAAGATTTTAAGAAGTGTGACACCAGATGTCTGGGCTTCTTTCATCCATCCATCCATCCTCCCTCCCTCCCTCCCTCCCTTCCTCTAATAAGAAGCATTTAGGTAAAATTAAAATGTGGCTTAATTCCAAGAGCAAGTTCTATTTATCCCTTCTCTATATAGTCTAGCCCCTTAACAAATACAATAAAGAAGAATATTTCCCTTTAAGAAACTACAGAAAAATAAATCAGAATAAAGAAATAGCTGAGTTCCTGAAATGCTGTATAAACCATATCATACTTCCTTATTTGCTTACTTTGCCATCTCAGCTCTGCTTTATCTAATTCTGGGTTGTTCGGTTGCTTCAATGGATAGCTAATGCTGTAGATTAAGTTCCCCAGCCTCTCAGTCCGTCAGGAAGGATTCCATTCACCATTTTTTGAGGGCCTGTAGTCTCCGAACACTGGAGAACATGCATGTGTAAAGAAACACATAATATAAATACACAAAATATAAATACGCCTATAAAATAGTTTGATTTTCAGCGATGGAGTTTTCTTAGAGCAAGGCGTGTCAGTCTTTCAAGTCATACATCTTTAAAAACCAACTGTGTTCCTCCTTTATTTTCCTATCAATCTAATAGCCCCCCTTTCTTAGGTTTTTTTTCCTTTCCCCTTTAATACTGACCCTATTTATCTGAATCTATCCATTTATTCCTCATTTTTCAAGTTTAAGCTAACAGATGGAGAGTCAGGCTACTTGCAAACATCTGCACTGAAACGCTTTACCTGCAACTCTCGCTGCGAGTGAAAGAGATTTTAATTACATGACATTCGAGAATTCCTCTCACAGGCACTGTAAGTGAAAGATTTCAGTGTAAAAACAAGTCATCCTGGAGGCTCTCACCATCAGGTCCACTCACGTCCCAAACAAATCCCACACCCCACACCGCAGCGGTGTTGTAAACAGACCCTTGACGGTAAACAACAGCTCTGACACCATGGATGCTTATGATATTCACAGTTCAATATTACTGGGAATTTTTACATGTGTGCCATTATATCAGTCATATGACTGCACAAAAAAAGTTAAAAATAATTATGTTTGCCATTCACAGATATTCTCAAAGAGGCCATTGCCTAGAAAGACGAGAGAGACTAAAATGTGGCTATAAATCATGTAACACTGTTTCTGCTCACACAGTGATGAGATTTAGTAACACCATGGGTATCGGGTTAGCAGGGTTTGCCTGAACCTAGCAAGTACCCTACTACCACCCATGGCAGGCACCAGTCCGCTACACCTGCACATCCTAATATGACAGTCACAGTCTTTCCAACGGCTCCTTTCCCTCTGCCCACCCTGCAGTGTTGGAACCTGCAGCCTCCCTGTCAAAGCTGCACCCTCCCTGTAGCCTCATCCACAGTGATAACTTCACTATCACTTAAATACCAAGAAATCCTTACTGTCAGTCTATATTTCCAGTCTGCTCATCCCCTTTGAGATTTAGGACCATACTTCTACCTTCCTTCTAGGTAATGCCTATATACTCAGGGATATGTTCAGAACACTCTCAGACAGACCTGGACTCAACCTGTCATCCTATAAGCTTTTTTCTGTGTTCACTATTTGGAGTCAAAGCATCGCAATCAATTTAATGAACAAGAACTAGAAACCTCAATTATCCTACACGCCTCCAGCTCCCTTAAAACCCCCTCTTAACTCATTCACAAACTTCTGAAGTTTCTACTCTGAAACTGTGCATTTTGGTTCTCCCTATCACAGATCTAGTTCAACACATCACCCTTCACGTGGGCTTGGTAAACCCTTTTAGAAGCTGCCTCCTTGCCTCCAACCACTGCCACAGCCAAAGCATCCTCTACGCTCCACTTCATTTGACAGATATGGATTGAGCACCTTCTGTGAGGCAGGCTTTGGGGTGGGTCTTGAGTAGAGAGTGGTGAGCAAATCAAAGACCCTCTCCTCAGCAAACCCAAACTCAAGTCAAAGAGATCAAGCAGCAACCAAGTAAGCAAACAGATACATAACCCATAGGGGGGTGTTTGGGTAAAAAATAACTGTGAGTGGTGCTATACCTGTAGTGATCACTGAGCAGGGGTCACTTAGAATAAGACCTCTAGGAAGGGAAGAGGCAGCCACACATCAGAGAGACGAGCACAGCAAAGCTCCGAGGCGAGAAGAGCCTGCACAGGCTGGAAGGAAGCCCAGGGACACTGGAGCTGTGTGCAGAGCGGGAGGGTATATTCGTGCAGGGGAGCAGAAGTGAAATCACCGTGGCGTCAGGAGCCACAGCCACAAGGGGGAATCTAGTGCGAGGCACTACGGGAAGTCAGGGAAAGGTTTTAGGCAAAGGAGTAACACGATCTGATTTACATTTTCAAATAACCGGCAGAATTACATTTCATAATCACAATGTGAGGGTCAGTCCTCTGAGTTAAAAAGGTGAACGGCTCCTGACGAAGGAGGCGCCCATGTGCTCTGGTTTGTCCTAGCGGGTCCTGGTCTTCCCTGCTGTCCTCGTGTCATTATTACAGTCCCCCTTTCACGCTCTCTCACGGGTTCTATGGAGATCACACGTTGTTTGGCCAACTCATTGATAAGGAACATTCCTCAGGCTGACATCCAAAGCCCTTCTGAGCGTGGTCCCTACTCACCTCTCTGCCTCTCCCTGTCAGATCTCTACCTTACGGTGCTCTGGGCTCTGGGATGTCCCGCTGGCCATGGTGAATGGGGCATATATTCTCCCCGCTGCCCAGCTCACGCTCCTGCCTCTTGCTGCAGGCTCTGACCACCTCACTATTATGGACAGACCCGCGAGGGCCAAACCTGAGAAGCCCTTCCAGAAACCAGGCAGAATGAATGGCTTCCTGCTCTGCTCTGCACTTTGTCACTGACTCTATGATAACGTTCATCACAACTGGGCTAATTATCTATATATAGGTCTTTTTTCCCTGCTGGAATGGTAGGTACTTCACGGTAAGGGCAGCACCTCTCTCTATGTGTTTTTGGGTCCTCATCACCCACTGCATGTCTGGTCCAGAGCTGGTACCTGATACAGAGCTGCTGGATGAATTATGTAATATAAAAGTAACATAAAATACAGATTAAAATAATATGGATGAGTGAGATTTTTAAATTAATTTCTCCAGTAAACTTAAAGTATTATTATTGCCTTTGCATCTAGACAATTTATTCTCCAACTCCATCCCCATGTGTAATGCAGCCCCATCGATTAGAAAGTGACAATAAGTTTTTCATGAATGATTAGAAATAAAAAATCTTTATAGGGTAAGAAGAAGAAGTCTAATTTTAGGAAACTAAACAACGGTGTCTTGGTAACAAATTTCTAAATAACTGTGACGCTGAAATAAAACAGACTGATACATCCCCAGGTTTCATCCACTCACCACTCTCAAATGATCCTGAACAAATCCTGCTCAGAAGTTGTTTTTGACGTAATTGCAGAACTTCAGCTTCCAAGGCTTTGACTTTTGCTCTCCACTTTGATTCCTGCCCAGACACCGTCCTTGCAAGATGCTCTGTGTATTCTCTGCTGCTTTTGTCTGCTGGTTTTGAGTGGATAATTGCCAAGGCCAGAGCCAGCTTTGAAGTTCTCAAATACCATGCTTGATCATCCATCCTGGCTTTTGTCCCTATCATGTAATGAGAAAAAAAAGTTACAGAAATTCCTTGCAGTACATTTCATTTGCTCAAAATTGATTTTGCAGGATAACACTAGTAAGTTTACAACTTGAAACCAAGTAGCAGAAAAATTTCTCAGGAATTGAAGACAGTTTGAAAAAAACATGCAGAAAAGAAATGCAAACACATGCACATTAAGTGTATTAAGATTCAAAACAGTGGGTGAGGATAATCTGACAATTTCTTGGAATTCAAAAAAACACAAATTAATTCATTTAGTGGTTTCTAACCAGAGACACACATTGAAATCTCTGAGGGAGCTTTTTTTTTTTTTTTAACATCTTTATTGGGGTATAATTGCTTTACAATGGTGTGTTAGTTTCTGCTTTATAACAAAGTGAGTCAGTTATACATATACATGTGTTCCCATATCTCTTCCCTCTTGTGTCTCCCTCCCTTCTGAGGGAGCTTTTTAATATATATACCTGGTCTCATCCCTCCAAAATTCTGACTCGGCAAATCTGGGGTAGGACTGAGGCTTTTACATCTTACAAAGAGTTCACTGTGTAATCAGAATCACTAAATTATATCCTTCGTTTAAATGTAAGCGCTTCTACTCCTCTAATCCACTCTAAGTCTTGAAGTCAGTGCCCCCCAATCCTGGATTCCTTCGTGAACGTCTACCCACTATTCCTGCTTCTCACCAAGCCCCTCTAATCTATATTTAGAACAATCTTTCAAATATTTGCATCATTTTAGCTATGACTCTGCTCTGACTCCACACCTCCAAAGCTTTCCAATTGCCACCGTGAGGATACTTTTCCAAACCAACACTGTACCACAGTCTGACAATTATGAGGACAACATGACACTACGTTCATTGGTCTAATACAAATGAAGTATAAGGCCCTGTGGACCTCCACCATGCTTTACTGAATTTAGGGGCTTTGCACGTAAAACATGCTACATAAACATTTTTAATGAATGGTTAAAAAGTACAATGGTGCAGAAAATTCAGGACTTTCAGTTGCCACATCTACATACTAACATAATTTCAAATTCCACACTCCCACCTTCATTTCCTTCAGTTTCTCAAGGCTATTCTCCACCATGGTTGGATCACAGTCATACAAATAGATGTACACAGTCCAAGGTCATTCCCATTCACTTCTCTGCTCATGAATTTTCCGCAATTATGATACCCTGACAGTCTTACAGCTAGCTGCCAAGGCCCTGTGTGCACCTTTCAAAGAACAGCTTGAAAGGCTGCATATCCAATCTTACCAGATGTATTCCCACCCTCTACAATGAGTACCTATCTGATATCCTATAAATTTTCCTGAAAATATACAATCTAACAGGTAGCATAATGCTGTTTTATTATAATCAGAGATGAACACAAGAATGCGTGTACAATATGTTCATTACAGGATTATTTATAATATTTAAAACTGGGACCAACAACCATTTCAGTAAATAATCATATACCATACAAATGATAATTACATATCCATTAAATACTGAATCTTCAGAGATATTGTTATTAGCATGGGAAAGTGTTAATGATGTGCTGAGGGGAAAGACAGTGGGTTCATGAAATTATATGTAAAACCCAATCATGTACAAAAATTAAGTAGGACTTCCCTCTACTGGAGAATTATTACTGATTTTTTTCTCATATTTCTCTAAATTTTCCTGATTTTCTGCATTGAATATATATCTACTATAATCAGAAAAAAATTTATTAAAAATGGATTTCTAAAAGCAAAATACAGCTGCCATTTTCCCAACTTTCGCAGCTGGAGAATACACCAAGGACTAGATACTGTTAAGACGGACAAACTAATAAGAGTTACAGCTCCACTTATTTTAGCTGTCACAGCACCCCTTTCACTTGGCTGGCTCATCCTCCATCTGTTGTGTCGGCACGGGAAGCAGGAGAACCCACCTCTCAGCGCTCCACAAAGGCACGCTGTGCAGAAAGCGCACAGGGACGGATGTCTCTCCCTAAGGAAGGTTAACACGTATATACAACAGTACTGAGAGAAGATAACAAAGGTAATAGTAATTAATAATAAGTGACCTATTTAAAGTGTTTCTGTTAGAAAAGAATCTGACATTCAATTATGAATGGTGGGAATCTTGGCTAAAAAAAAAAAAGAAAACAGTTTATTAGCATAAGAGGACAAACTTCTCTGATAATAATACACAGCAAACTCCCTGTCATTTTGCGGAAATATTTAATTAACTGATTCAAGCAAGCTGATTAATTAAATGTTCTGATTTTTAAGTCATCATATGTGATTTGTTAATAGTCTTAAAACCATGCTGAGTATCAGTGAATGGAAAAAAAGATCGCATTATAAAGTCCTTCTGGATCAAAAATATCCCAGGGTCACGTTTCTGAACATTAATCAGAAAGAAATGTATCATAAATAAACAGAATGCGACTGCTAACAGACATCTCTGGTGCAGACTCTATGGTATAAATCACACTCAAAACACACACAGAACCACAACCTACACCCAAACAGAGCAAGCTTTTAAGCTCCTTCCTCATATTTGTTTTTTTTTTTTTGTACATGTGTATTATAAATATATGCCTTCTTTATTTTAGGATAGCATTCCTATCCTCAAAGTACCATTTGCAAGGTGAAGGTAATTCTATTTCCCCTAAAATTTCATGGAGAAAAAGATGAGCTTCCTAGATATATCCTCTGTTTAACTGAGAAAAAAAATCAGAAGTAACTTTCAGAAAGACTTTTGTAAATTCAATTTATGCTCAAATAATTATACTAAATAATTAAAATGAACATTTAATGTTGCTCAATAAGGTATTTAGTGTCTTTGAATCCTTAACAGCTTAAAATATAAAATTTTAACAGTCTTTTTAGAATAGTGCATTTGATCAAATGGGCTTTCTTTTTCTTGCATTTGGGAACAGTCCTCACCATAACAAAGTTCCCCACTGGGCTACTGAAAAATCTAGTCATTTTCCCTCTGTCCTCTACTCTCCTTCAGGCATGCGTGCAGAAACAGCTACTCAGCAAACAGTATTTTAGCAATTTTTATCTACCCTATTTCTGCTACCCTCATTTTCCCCTACTGAACTTAAATTTGTTATCAACTAACCAATTCTCTGTACTGTCAAAACTATTTTAAATTATAATCCTGAATTCTGAAGTTAGTTCATCTCCAAGATCATTGATGAAAATTCTATGAAGAGCCCCAGATCACTCATATATAAGAGGAATGGAAGTTTAAATTAGATAACCATTCAGGAAAATATTTTCCTAATATGTACCAAACACCTTCAAAACATTTATCCCCCTTTGGCCCAGCAGTACAAGTCCTAAGGTTTTATCTTAAAGAAATGACCAGAACTACAACAAAACTTTATGCAGATAGATGGTCTTACAGGATTACTTATAACTACTGAACAAAAAACCAAAACCAAAACAAAACAAAATAAAACCTGTCACCAGCTTCAACATCTAACAATCGAAATGTATTAATTAAATTGTCACATATTATACAACTTAATTGAAAATGTTTCTGAAAACATTTAAAAGTATGGGAAAATATTTCCCACATGATGTTAACTACAGATGCTAATGTTAACTACTAAATGCAAAACCACAATGAGATAACACCTCACACCTGTCAGAACATCTATCATGAAAAAGAACACAACAAATGTTGGCAGGGATGTGGAAAAAAGGGAATCCTTGTACACTGTTGGTGGAACTGTAAATTGGTGCAGCCATTATGGAACAGTATGGAGGTTTCTCGAAAAACTAAAAATAGAACTATCGTTATGACCCAGCAATTCCACTCCTGGGTATATATCTAAAAACAAAAACAAAAACGATAATTCAAAAAGATACGTGCACCCCAACGTTTATAGCAGCATTGTTTACAATAGCCAAGATATATGGAAAGCGACCTACGTGTCCATCAACAGATGAATGGTTAATGAAGATGTGGTACATATATATACAATGGAATACTACTCGGCCATAAAAAAGAATGAAATTTTGCCATTTGCAGCAACATGGATGGACTTGGAGGGTATTATGCTAAGTGAAGTTAAGTCAGACAGAGAAAGACAAATACTGCATGACATCACTCATGTGTAATCTAAAAAAATACAACAAACTAGTAAATATAACAAAAAAGAAGCAGATTCACAGATATAGAGAACAAACTACTGGTTACCAGTTGGGCGGAGGGGCAGTATAAGGGTAGGAGAGTGGGAGGTACACACTATTGGGTGTAAGATCGGCTCAAGGATGTATTGTACAACACAGGGAATAGAGCCAATATTTTGTAGTAACTGTAAATGGAGTGTAATGTTTAAAAACTGTATAAAAATAATTTTTTAAGAAGTTAAAAAAAACAGTAAATTCAATAAAATCAGAAAAAAAATGAAATAATCACACATTAAACATGCTCAGAAATGTTTAACTGTCCAAGTGCTTTCAGAACTGAGGAAACACAGCCAACGGAATGAGAATTCTGCCTCCTAGGTTTTCTAGTCTCCCTTCCTGATCAGCCTTCACCAAGTTCTACTAATGAAACCAAGTCCCCCTAAAGCGGAGTTCCCTTACCGAGTTTATTACTAATCTCTCTATCCAAATCTTTATTCCCTTTCTTGTCCCCTCTGACCTCCGTCCTGTGCTAACTGAACACTAATCAACCAGAGTCAGATGACTAAGATTGCTGCTGCCCATAACAGCGTTAATGTCCTAAAATTGCTCTAACAGTTATCATCATTAACATACAAACTCAGGTTGTTTCTCCTAACAGGCCCCTAAGCCGTGGACCACCTGGCCAGAGAATAATAAACCAGAGTCATCCTGACCCCTGAAACTATGATTAAGGACTAAGAAATATCACAGCAATGTCACAAAACAATGATTAATCCCTGCACCTTTGTTCTTTGCCTTTAAAACATCCCTAACTCAAAGACCAAGCTAAAGTGGATCTGAAGCTTGTCTCCCATTCCCTT